TAAGACTTGAGGTGAGAGAAAATGATGTGAACACCCATGGTAATCAAATCCAAGATGATCAAGGTGTTTGGGTTCCAAGTACTGTCCAAGCTCAAGGAGTGGCTCAAGATCCGTTATCCAATATTGGAGGCCCAATGACTCGAGCTAGAAGTAAAAGGATGAAGAGTGCACTTAATAATCTTATATCAAATGGTTTAGCCCAAGAGAATGTCAAATCTGGAAGTTACAAGCCCAAGATTATTAATGTGTTGCAAGGCCCATTTGAGGAAGGAAATTTCGGCCCACAAACCAAGCAAGGCAAGCCGGCCCCATCTCCTAATTTTTAGGAGTTGTAATCTCTATCTTTTAGGGATAAAATCATTTAAATCTTATCACACTTGTCGAAAGATAAGATTTGGAAGATTCCCTATCTTTTAGAGATAAGATCATTTAAATCTTATCACATGGAAGGATAAGATTTGATATGATTCTTTTTTATCTAATTTAAATTTTATTCAAAATAAGAAGTCTATGATTGGATGGCTATGATTAGATCAAGATTGGATGGCTATGATTACTCTACAAAGAAGATATTGATAGAGTTGACAACTCAGGAAGATTCTTTTCAAGATAAGGATAAGATTCATTTGAGAGAATATCTCTTTGTATTTGGAGTTTTATTTTCAATAGACTAGTGTGTCTTAAGTCTATAAAGGTGTCTAGATACATTGCCTTAATAGATAAGACCCAAGTTGTTAATTAGAGGTTAAGTTGATTTCTAGTTCTTTGAAGTAGGAATAGAGTTAGAGATCAAAGTCTTCTCCTACTTCATAGGAGAATTTCGGCCCCCTCTACTATATAAATAGGGGTGCTTGGCCAGCATTTCATTTGTACCTTTGATGAATTTGATATTTCAATATGAGACGAGAGGAAACTCTTTGTTCTTTTTCTATTCTTTTCGAAGATTAGTGCATTGCACACAAGCTTGTGCTTTGTTGATACATGCGAGTAGAATAGGTGTTTTTCTACTTGTGGAGCTTTGTTAGTTGTTCATTGGAGCCTTTTCGCTAGCCGTTCTATCCATAAATCGAAGGGATAGGGTTGTTAGAGAGGTGACCGATTGGGTTGCTAACCTTAAACACTTTCTACATCTTCTAAACCTTTCCATCCCTTTTTGGTGCAAATTTTTGTGGTTTGCATCTCTTCTTTCCTTTTATTTTTCGTGAGTTTGGAGTCCATAATATTGGATTTGCAAGTTTTCAAGTCCTGGAAAATTCATAGCTTCCGCGTCGAGGTAAATCTGCCACCTTTGCCTCAAGATTCGTATCAATTGCCTCAGAGCCTTGGTTTTTGAAAACTTGCAAGTAGAGTCAAGTGCAAATTGATACTTTGTATCAATTGGCCTCAGAGCTTTGGTTCTTGAAGACTTGTTTTTGTTTTGATCTACTAAAGCTCATCTTTGGTTAGATCTATAATTGTTCTTTTCAATTTTTGAGTCTTTTATTATAGATCTCACTATTTTGCTTCGATTGTATTCTTGTTTGATTTGATTGACGTTGTTATAGTTAGATCCATTATTAGTAAAAAAAAAAAACGTTTTTCTTCTCCTTAATTTTCGGATCTAGGGTATCTTAATCCCTAATCCACGCTTTGAGTAAAAAAAAAAAAAGCCGTGCAAAGATAAAAAGAAAGACGGCATAGAAGGAGATTGGTATTTGAGTTTGACTTGAAGTGCAACTACTATTTTGTGCACATATCTTTTTCGAAAATATTTGGATCTTTGGTAGCTAGGGGTTTTGCAAATATAGGCCCTTATTTGTGAAGTAGCCAAAACTAGGGTTTTCTCTATAACCCTAAGTTGAAACTTTTATTTTTCAGAATTTGCTCCAATTTCTAATAGCCTTTTTGTGAGATCTAAGTTTTCATAATTGTAACTACTCGATCTATATTCGTGTTCTTCCTTAGGTCCTGTTTGATGAAACTGAAGTCTGAAATCTGAAGTCTGAAAACTGAAAACTAAATTGAATAAGTGACTGAATCTGAATGACTGAATGTGGTAAATAGAAATGTCTGAATCTGAACACTGATTCCACTCAAGCTGTTTGATAATATTGCAGGACTGAATTCTTAACATGGATAAATTTACCAATATATCCCTATATGTAAATTTAAATATATTTTTATTTATTATATTATACTTTAAAATACCACAATTTTTCCCTTAATGGAATAAATGATTTTACTTAAAAAGATTATTTATATAAAAAAACTTAAATTGTTTAGAAAATAATTCTCAATGCAAATTAAAGTGTACAAATAAAAAAAATTATAATAACCCAAAAATACCACCCCTCCCCACATAACCAATACGATTGCATGCACATTCCATTGTTTTTTTAAAGAATCAATTTCTTTTGAAAAAAATGGAGAAAGATCAAGTCACCATATTTACCAACAACGACCATCACGTCAGCATTATAACTTCATAAATAAATCAAAAGTCTAGATGCTTGGCAATGCATGCATGTCATGAGTCTAACTACTAACCATATTCTCACGAGAACCAACCATTGCAACTACATAAATAATTCAGAAAGTTCACATGGTAATTTATACACATCATAACTTAACTCCCTTTCAAACAGAAGTATACACCGAAGGTCAAAAATCAAAACGGAGTACTAAACAAAAACAAAAGATATCAGAGACTCCAAATAAAATGTTGTCTTCCATAAATCCAAAAACTAAATCCATACAGAACAAGAAAAAAAATGATAAAGCCACCCACTTGATTTAAATTGCTGAAATAATCAAATTCTTAATTCAACAAGAAAAATTATGGAGTTAAAAGAGAAAATTACATTTCAAAAGCAGCGTCGACCAAGTTATAGCCTTGAAAGAGGGTCCAAAAGCAGGTTCGTTGGCGTTCCTCCGTGCGTCTCACTGGCTACGAGCTATAAGTTATCGCAAGAACTCAAAATAACTAAGCAAAAAAAACACAAACCTCCAGTAGAATTATGAAAAGGTCCAAAACAATAGTGACAAACAGATTTAATTTTTGGCATTCAATTAGAAGCAAGTGTACATCACAAGAATTGTAAAATGGGTACATGCTAAATGATGCGTGCCGAGTTCACCAAAAATATTACTAGCTTGGATTATGAATTTTGTAGACAATGGAAGCTAGGTCGATCCCACGAGGACAGCTAATTACCAAATTTGTTGTAAAAACAAGACTACCAGTCAGACAAGGTGTCACTCAGGGGAATGGAAACAGTCACTCAGGGGAATGAAAGCCAGGGGTGTTCTTCTCCTCTTCCTACTGTTGTAGTTGTTTTATTAGCACTGTAATGGTTGAATTCTTGTTCATTCAGCTCACTTATAACTCTAAGTCAGTTCCCATTTTTCCTAGAGTCATCTTTGCAACCTTAACAATCTATTTTCCAATGATTGATTCTAGATACAAAGTTATTAAGTTCTTAGGCCTTCAAGAATGCTTATGTTAACTAAGTATATTCCTATCTTAGTTAAAACCATAGACTGTTACCTTTATGTCATAAGTTAAAGTTATAAACAATCCAAACCAAGTTTATCTTTCCCGATCTCCCTTAGTTCTAGCATGCATTCAATTTAGTGATCAAGTAAATGAATGTAGAAAAGCTTTCAACTTCAAAACAAGGAACAACCAGTGCATTAAACTACTATAACATAGGTTGAGGAGAATGATCCTGATAGCAATCTCATAGACGAAGCAAATTTTGTTAATGCAACCATCAACAAGAAAGTACGAAGATGATTTGTCTATCCCGTGAAACTCAAAAGAGTGCGGAAAATTCACAGTAAGACGATCGTTTATCTAAGTGATTCTATCTCTTAACTCAAACCCAGCAAAGAACACATTATCCATGAAAGATTTGAATTAAACAACAACCCACGCTAAGAATAGCAAGGACACCATTCAATATACTCGATCAGTCATCTATCAAGAGACTCAAGAAAGGCAGGAGCAAACAATGCCCAACTATGAAGGAATACTATTGATTAGTAATCTTCATAACCAACCAAAGATGTGCAACACATACACTATCTCAAAATGCTTATGCCAAAGCACAACTCAACCAACAAAAGTAGGACAAACCCCACAATGGATCTCATGAACACACTCATCATGAATTTCGAACACCAAGCCAAAGGGAAGGCTCATCAATCGAACTACTAGAAGTAGTATGAAAATAAGAAGTCTTGTTTTAAAACAATTCTATCAAGAAGCATACTTGAAAAAGAACGGTTTCTGCAAGATCAAAAAGATCCAAGACAAAATGAAAACCCTCTTGGTTTAATCATACTTGACACGAAAAATGGACACTCCATTTAACAAAAATTTCTCACAGGAAAAACTCTCAAAAGAGACAACAAAAATGACCAGTCAAGGGTGCTTAAGAAATTCGGCCAAGCCTCCTATATATAGGCTTAGAATTTTCGGCCAGCACCACTAGAAAGAAGACCAATTAGGACTCTCTAATCTTATCTCCCAAGGAGTAAAAGTAGAAGAGTACTTGATCTCTTTGACTCTATCTATAATCTAGGAAACCTTATCTAAATAACTTATCCTCAAGTAATATCTAGAAGGAATCTAAGGCTCCTAATCAAAACACTCTAGCTTAATTCAGTCCACATGACTTATTTAACTAGATAAAAATTTGAAAATTGACTCCTAGACTTAGACTAACTCTAATCTCGAAATTCAGCTCCAAATTGTTGAAGTAAAATGTCTTGAACGCCCTTCCAAAAGTGGAATATTGGTCCTACGCCCCTTAAGTTGTAGAAAACTCCAATTTACTCCAAAACTTGTAGAATTCTCTTTATTGACTCCAAAAGATTGGAAAAACACTTGAAACAATTAAGATAGTTTGCAACCTATCCAATTGTGTAGAAATGGACTCAATCTTGAACACTTTGATCAAATAGGCCGTCCATTCAAGAACCTAAATGACTCTTCTCACTAGCTTGATCAATGATCTTCATGGAGCACATAGAGTCAAACTCTCTTGATACTCTTCAGCACTTATTTCCATGAGGTCTTCATCTCCTTTGGTTTGAACCCCAAAGTTAATGACATTCTCATCACCTTGATCATAGCTCTCTTGAACCAACTCCCTATCACACAGGTAGTGAAGATCCATCCTTTCTTCCTTGATTGGCCTGCAAAGTAAACTTGGCATTCCAATACTAGAATGAAGGACTAGCTCATTCTCCTCACTAGGAGAACCTCCATGGAAGGCTACATGATTCTCATCATCCCCTCCTTCTTTAAGAGGATTCGTCCTCGAATCATCAACCTCTATACCTGCACAAGGAACAAACGAGATATAAGGGTTAGTAAAATCCTCACCCTCACCACACTCTGATTGATAGCAATCTCGTAGACGAAGCAAATTTCGTTAATGCAACCATCAACAAGAAAGTACGAAGATAATTTTGTCTATCCCGTGAAACTCAAAAGAGTGCGGAAAATTCACAGTAAGACGATCGTTTCTCTAAGTGATTCTATCTCTTAACTCAAACCAAGCAAAGAACACATTATCCATGAAAGATTCGAATTAAACAACAACCCACGCTAAGAATAGCAAGGACACCATTCAATATACTCGATCAGTCATTAATCAAGAGACTCAAGAAAGGTAGGAGCAAACAATGCCCAACTATGAAGGAATACTATTAATTAGTAATCTTCATAACCAACCAAAGATATGCAACACATACACTATCTCAAAATGCTTATGCCAAAGCACAACTCATCCCAACAAAAGTAGGACAAACCCCACAATGGATCTCATGAACACACTCATCATGAAATTCGAACACCAAGCCAAAGGAAAGGCTCATCAATCGAACTACTAGAAGTAGTATGAAAATAAGAAGTTTAGTTTTAAAACAATTCTATCAAGAAGCATACTTGAAAAAGAATGGTTTCTGCAAGATCAAAAAGATCCAAGACAAGATGAAAACCCTCTTGGTTTAAACATACTTGACACGAAAAATGGACACTCCATTTAACAAAAATTCCTCACAGGAAAAACTCTCAAAAGAGACAACAAAAATGACCACTCAAGGGTGCTTCTAAAATTCGGCCAAGCCTCCTTTATATAGGCTTGAATTTTTTGGCCAGCACCACTAAAAAGAAGACCAATTAGGACTCTCTAATCTTATCTCACAAGGAGTAAAAGTAGAAGAGTACTTGATCTCTTTGACTCTATCTAAAATCTAGGAAACCTTATCTAAATCACTTATCCTCAAGTAGGATAATATCTAGAATGAATCTAAAACTCCTAATTAAAACACTCTAGCTTAATTCAGTCCACATGACTTATTTAACTAGATAAAATTCGAAAAATTGACACCTAGACTTAGACTAACTCTAATCTCGAAATTCAGCTCCAAATTCTTGAAGTAAAATGTCTTGAACGCCCTTCCAAAAGTGGAATATTGGTTCTGCCCCTTAAGTTGTAGAAAACTCCAATTTACTCCAAAACTTGTAGAATTCTCTTTATTGACTCCAAAAGATTGGAAAAACACTTGAAACAATTAAGATAGTTTGCAACCTATCCAATTGTGTAGAAATGGACTCAATCTCGAACACTTTGATCAAATAGGCCGTCCATTCAAGAACCTAAATGACTCTTCTCACTAGCTTGATCAATGATCTTCATGGAGCACATAGAGTCAAACTCTCTTGATACTCTTCAGCACTTATTTCCATGAGGTCTTCATCTCCTTTGGTTTGAACCCCAAAGTTAATGACATTCTCATCACCTTGATCATAGCTCTCTTGAACCAACTCCCTATCACACAGGTAGTGAAGATCCATCCTTTCTTCCTTGTTTGGCCTGCAAAGTAAACTTGGCATTCCAATACTAGAATGAAGGACTAGCTCATTCTCCTCACTAGGAGAACCTCCATGGAAGGCTACATGATTCTCATCATCCCCTCCTTCTTTAAGAGGATTCGTCCTCGAATCATCAACCTCTATACCTGCACAAGGAACAAACGAGATATAAGGGTTAGTAAAATCTTCACCCTCACCACACTCTGATTCATAGCAATCTCGTAGACGAAGCAAATTTCGTTAATGCAACCATCAACAAGAAAGTACGAAGATAATTTTGTCTATCCCGTGAAACTCAAAAGAGTGCGGAAAATTCACAGTAAGACGATCGTTTCTCTAAGTGATTCTATCTCTTAACTCAAACCAAGCAAAGAACACATTATCCATGAAAGATTCGAATTAAACAACAACCCACGCTAAGAATAGCAAGGACACCATTCAATATACTCGATCAGTCATTAATCAAGAGACTCAAGAAAGGTAGGAGCAAACAATGCCCAACTATGAAGGAATACTATTAATTAGTAATCTTCATAACCAACCAAAGATATGCAACACATACACTATCTCAAAATGCTTATGCCAAAGCACAACTCATCCCAACAAAAGTAGGACAAACCCCACAATGGATCTCATGAACACACTCATCATGAAATTCGAACACCAAGCCAAAGGAAAGGCTCATCAATTGAACTACTAGAAGTAGTATGAAAATAAGAAGTTTAGTTTTAAAAACAATTCTATCAAGAAGCATACTTGAAAAAGAATGGTTTCTGCAAGATCAAAAAGATCCAAGACAAGATGAAAACCCTCTTGGTTTAAACATACTTGACACGAAAAATGGACACTCCATTTAACAAAAATTCCTCACAGGAAAAACTCTCAAAAGAGACAACAAAAATGACCACTCAAGGGTGCTTCTAAAATTCGGCCAAGCCTCCTTTATATAGGCTTGAATTTTTCGGCCAGCACCTCTAAAAGAAGACCAATTAGGACTCTCTAATCTTATCTCACAAGGAGTAAAAGTAGAAGAGTACTTGATCTCTTTGACTCTATCTAAAATCTAGGAAACCTTATCTAAATCACTTATCCTCAAGTAGGACAATATCTAGAAGGAATCTAAGACTCCTAATCAAAACACTCTAGCCTAATTCAGTCCACATGACTTATTTAACTAGATAAAATTCAAAAATAACTCCTAGACTTAGACAATGACTCTAATGTCGAAATTCAGCTCCAAATTATTGAAGTAAAATGTCTTGAACGCCCTTCCAAAAGTGGAATATTGGTCTTGCGCCCCTTAAGTTGTAGAAACCTCCAATTTACTCCAAAACTTGTAGAATTCTCTTTATTGACTCCAAAAGATTGGAAAAACACTTGAAACAATTAAGATAGTTTGCAACCTATCCAATTGTGTAGCAATGGACTCAATCTTGAACACTTTGATCAAATAGGCCGTCCACTCATGAACCTAAATGACTCTTCTCACTAGCTTTGATCAATGATCTTCATGGAGCACACAGAGTCAAACTCTCTTGATACTCTTCAGCACTTATTTCCATGAGGTCTTCATCTCCTTTGGTTTGCACCCCAAAGTAAATGACATTCTCATCACCTTGATCATAGCTCCCTTGAACCAACTCCCTATCACATAGGTAGTCAAGATCCATCCTTTCTTCCTTGATTGGCCTGCAAAGTAAACTTGGCATTCCAAATCTAGAATGAAGGACTAACTCATTCCCCTCACTAGGAGAACCTCCATGGAAGGCTATATGATTCTCATCACTGATTTTCTCTCATTGCGTGCATTTTTTTCTGTTTCCACGCTATTTTCATGGTTTTCTCTCACCTCAAGTCTTACCTCATCGTGACCCTTTTTACTTTCTTGCGTCACTCGCTCGACTCTTTCTCTCCCTTGTGTACAGGTTATCTTACGTCTTTTCTCTCGCACAGATTCAGATTCTTCATAAGCCAAAGGCTTAAGAATGTAATTTCTGTCCTCTTTAGTAAAGACAAAGATATTCTTCTAGCAATGGTGCACAACATCTACATCTGACTGCCAAGGCCTACCTAGCAAAATATCACAAAGAGACATAGGAATTACATCAAAGTAAATTTCATCCCTATACTCACCAATCTGAAAAGGTACCATGGCCTTTTTAGTAACATCCACAACCATCTCTTCACTCAACCATTGAAGCTTGTATGGTCTAGTATGCGGATCCATCTTAATTCCGTTTGCTATGCAGAATTCCTCACTTACACAATCAGTACTCAACCCATCGTCGATTACCAAATCAACTTTATTGGACCACCCAACCGAACACTTAGTATGGAAGATACAAGTCCGTTGATCTCCATCTTCAGCACCAAACACCAACCCCTGATCCTCAATTGGACCATTCCAACCACAAGAAGTATCATGCTCTCTTTCCACTTCTAAGGCAGCATAGTATGCCTCATAGAGCCTTGATTGTCTCCTTATCTTTGGGTGTTGTTTGAAACACTTGTCCAAGCCATAGTGGAAACGGTCTGTCAACATGTAGTCGTTCTCATCCACATCTGAACTCAGAAACAACCCTTCTAATTCCTCAAAGTAAGATTGAATGGATCTACCATTCTGCTTACAATTGAGCAACTTCACTTTTGCTTCATCAAAGGTGTTAGTACCAGCATATCTTTCTCGCAAATCACTTCTCAAATCATGCCAATCATCCAAATTACGATACCAATAATGCGAATAGATATTTGAAACTAGCTTCCACCAATTCAAAGCATTAGAACGAAAACAACCTATAGCTAAGGCTATTTTCTCACTCTCTTTCTCTATGTTAAGCAACACAAACAAATTCTCTATGCTCTTTTCCCAAGTATCATATTCTCTATGACAACCATAAAACAAAGGCAATGACACTTGCAACATTCCAGCATACGAGGGTACTTGTTTAACTTCAAAACGATCACATAAGACTCTTAAATTTTCAGCAATTTTCTCAAAACTTACCATAGCTTTATCTTGCTGATTTGAAAGCAATTGAGACAAGTCTCGGTTTGCCTCCTTAACCTCGGCCAAAGCATCATGTAGGAAGTCAATTTGACACTTCATGAGCTGTACTTGAGCCTCCATGCGACCCTCTATACTCTTTGAAGCGATTTGAGTACAACCAGCAACTCCGGATGACATCTTTGCTCAACAACTCTGAGAAACCACCAACAAAAGAAGTAATGTGCCTTGTTTACTACACAAAAACTCCTTGAACCCTAGAACCAAAGTTTGGTTCGGCCGAAACCCCCAAGAACCAAAGGAAGGTTCGAATAAAGCTCTCCCCCAAAACAAAAACTCTCTTGTGCTTTTAAGAACACAACTCTCAAAATTTCAGAATTAAAGAGAAAGTGCTTCTCTTGTTCTTTTCTCTTTTGATCTCGGCAGCAAGAAAGAAGAAGAAAATTGGAGTAGAGCGATGTGAGAATTTTCGAAAAACAGCACCCCTAGTTATAGGCAATGCAAGTCTTTTTGTGCAAGAAAACTCCTACAAGATAGGACCTAAATTTTCTCAAAAATATTCCCCCCTTTTTAATGATGAAGGTTGCTCGACAGTATGGAATAAAGAAGAAGAAAAACCGGCCTCATATATATAGACAAGGATAGAGTCCTAAAACTTAGGTAAACATAATTCTTTTTGGACACAAATTAGGAAAAACTCATCCCTACTTATTAGAGATAAAATTTTCGACCCCCCTACTACTAAAAGGACTCAAATACATGGCCACACACATGCACAATTGTATTAGAAGACTAAAAAATTTTCAGATTAGGATAAGACTTCCTTATCTTAATAGTTTTCGAAAATAGACTCACTTTAAAACTCTAATTATAATCTCACTGAAATTATAATTTAACACATGCAAAAATTAGTATTTAAATCCAAGTAGGACTTAAATAAAACACATAATAAAATTGTATTACAATTAGGAAACAATGGCTGCAAATTTTTGGCCAATGTGAACACAAAATCCAAAACCGAATAGGACTCAAATCATAACACAATTTGGACTCAATGACCTTAATTTTAGGGCTAAAATTTTCGGCCATGCGAACACACAAATACAAGACCAAATAGGTCTCCAAGTGTAACACAAATAGACAACCAAAATTCAAGTTCAACTAGAACTAGGAAAACCTAATTTTAGCTTCACAATTTCGGCTATACTATGACTCTAAAATTCAAAACCAACTAGGCTTAGAATACCACATAAATCACACGCACACACATGCAAAAAGTCAGTAAAATTTCGGCCATTAACCTTTTACCACATAGTTAAAATTTGAAAAATTACTTTTGACTCACTTAAAAGGAAACTTAAAAATTACCACTTTCCAAAATGGACAACAACTTTTAGAATCTTTCTAAAAACCCTTTTCCAAATTGTACTTGGAATTAACAAAAATTACTTTTTACCAAAACAATCCATGGCAAATAAAGTAACAAGAACACCATAATTATAATTCAATTATGACATTTGCTTCATAATACTAAATTCAACACAAATCATTCTGAAAACTCAATGACTTAACAATGCCATCTTCATAAGTGACCATTGAAAATCAATCTTCCAACAACCAAATATGTAAACTTTGAGAATACATCTCAAAACCTATAAGATTTCTTGTCAAACATTAAGAAAATCTTTTTAGAAAAACTTCACTTAATTTTCGACCCTACTCTCGAAAATCAAGGTTTTAAAACACAAGTCAAAGACTTCAATCCTTAAAGTTGGCACAATTCAACTTCAAAGACCTTAAAACACTTTGATACCAAAACTGATATCACTAAAATTCATTCTTCATCACTTGACAAAGAAAGTTTTTGACTAAAACTCAAAGTGTAAAACTCGAGAAACAAGAAAACCAAAATTTGTTAATTTTGAAAAATCTTTTGACACTAAGATTAAACAAAATTCGGTCTCTATGAAATTTTCATGAATTGAAAATCCATAAATTCCATTTTACTCATTAGATTCAAATGAAACCAACAAGAAGGAAGGCTTTTCATTTATACTTTATGTAGAAAGTACAAAATCCTTAAGCTTCACCTTTCAAAGAATAGATCCAAGATATTTACCACAAGATAAACTCCCAAATCCTCCTTATGTAAAGACATCTCTTTAGAAAGAAAAGGCTATCTCGAGCAAGAAGCTCTTCTTTGGCATCAATTCTCTCCTTAAAGATCCAACACATAAGATCCACTAACTTGCTCATAGGAGAAACAGTTCTCTACTTGCAAATCAAGGATAAATTTCAAGATGTAGCGCCCACTTTGATTAGATACTAACGTACCATCATCAAGCTCTCGCATAGACCTTAAAATAACACCACAAGATCAAACAAATGTGTAAGAAGTCTCGCACAACCACACAAAAGACAAGATCAATTTTGAAAACGTAGTTTTCACAAGAATTTGATTTATTTTTTCAACACCCCATTCCAAAACAAGAAGGAACCTTGAAACAAATAAAGATAGTACTACTCGTTAAGTAGCACAAAGCTCAATCACCACACCAAGTAACGGATTCCGTGGTAATTCAAGATATTCTCAAAACCAAGAACTATAAAGTTCCCAACTAAGAAGAAATCTCTCGAAAATCAAACTGATAATAGGAATTGATATGACAATATCAATCAATTAATACCATCACTAAGATAATCCAAGCTCGATACCAAGAAACCGATAGCAATCTCGTAGACGAAGCAAATTTCGTTAATGCAACCATCAACAAGAAAGTACGAAGATAATTTTGTCTATCCCATGAAACTCAAAAGAGTGCGGAAAATTGACAGTAAGGCGATCGTTTATCTAAGTGATTCTATCTCTTAACTCAAACCAAACAAAGAACACATTATCCATGAAAGATTCGAATTAAACAAACAACCCACGCTAAGAATAGCAAGGACACCATTCAATATACTCGATCAGTCATTAATCAAGAGACTCAAGAAAGGTAGGAGTGCTTCTCTTGTTCTTTTCTCTTTTGATCTCGGCAGCAAGAAAGAAGAAGAAAATTGGAGTAGAGCGATGTGAGAATTTTCGAAAAACAGCACCCCTAGTTATAGGCAATGCAAGTCTTTTTGTGCAAGAAAACTCCTACAAGATAGGACCTAAATTTTCTCAAAAATATTCCCCCCTTTTTAATGATGAAGGTTGCTCGACAGTATGGAATAAAGAAGAAGAAAAACCGGCCTCATATATATAGACAAGGATAGAGTCCTAAAACTTAGGTAAACATAATTCTTTTTGGACACAAATTAGGAAAAACTCATCCCTACTTATTAGAGATAAAATTTTCGACCCCCCTACTACTAAAAGGACTCAAATACATGGCCACACACATGCACAATTGTATTAGAAGACTAAAAAAATTTTCAGATTAGGATAAGACTTCCTTATCTTAATAGTTTTCGAAAATAGACTCACTTTAAAACTCTAATTATAATCTCACTGAAATTATAATTTAACACATGCAAAAATTAGTATTTAAATCCAAGTAGGACTTAAATAAAACACATAATAAAATTGTATTACAATTAGGAAACAATGGCTGCAAATTTTTGGCCAATGTGAACACAAAAATCCAAAACCGAATAGGACTCAAATCATAACACAATTTGGACTCAATGACCTTAATTTTAGGGCTAAAATTTTCGGCCATGCGAACACACAAATACAAGACCAAATAGGTCTCCAAGTGTAACACAAATAGACAACCAAAATTCAAGTTCAACTAGAACTAGGAAAACCTAATTTTTAGCTTCACAATTTCGGCTATACTATGACTCTAAAATTCAAAACCAACTAGGCTTAGAATACCACATAAATCACACGCACACACATGCAAAAAGTCAGTAAAATTTCGGCCATTAACCTTTTACCACATAGTTAAAATTTGAAAAATTACTTTTGACTCACTTAAAAAGGAAACTTAAAAATTACCACTTTCCAAAAATGGACAACAACTTTTAGAATCTTTCTAAAAACCCTTTTCCAAATTGTACTTGGAATTAACAAAAATTACTTTTTACCAAAACAATCCATGGCAAATAAAGTAACAAGAACACCATAATTATAATTCAATTATGACATTTGCTTCATAATACTAAATTCAACACAAATCATTCTGAAAACTCAATGACTTAACAATGCCATCTTCATAAGTGACCATTGAAAATCAATCTTCCAACAACCAAATATGTAAACTTTGAGAATACATCTCAAAACCTATAAGATTTCTTGTCAAACATTAAGAAAATCTTTTTAGAAAAACTTCACTTAATTTTCGACCCTACTCTCGAAAATCAAGGTTTTAAAACACAAGTCAAAGACTTCAATCCTTAAAGTTGGCACAATTCAACTTCAAAGACCTTAAAACACTTTGATACCAAAACTGATATCACTAAAATTCATTCTTCATCACTTGACAAAGAAAGTTTTTGACTAAAACTCAAAGTGTAAAACTCGAGAAACAAGAAAACCAAAATTTGTTAATTTTGAAAAATCTTTTGACACTAAGATTAAACAAAATTCGGTCTCTATGAAATTTTCATGAATTGAAAATCTATAAATTCCATTTTACTCATTAGATTCAAATGAAACCAACAAGAAGGAAGGCTTTTTCATTTATACTTTATGTAGAAAGTACAAAATGCTTAAGCTTCACCTTTCAAAGAATAGATCCAAGATATTTACCACAAGATAAACTCCCAAATCCTCCTTATGTAAAGACATCTCTTTAGAAAGAAAAGGCTATCTCGAGCAAGAAGCTCTTCTTTGGCATCAATTCTCTCCTTAAAGATCCAACACATAAGATCCACTAACTTGCTCATAGGAGAAACAGTTCTCTACTTGCAAATCAAGGATAAATTTCAAGATGTAGCGCCCACTTTGATTAGATACTAACGTACCATCATCAAGCTCTCGCATAGACCTTAAAATAACACCACAAGATCAAACAAATGTGTAAGAAGTCTCGCACAACCACACAAAAGACAAGATCAATTTTGAAAACGTAGTTTTCACAAGAATTTGATTTATTTTTTCAACACCCCATTCCAAAACAAGAAGGAACCTTGAAACAAATAAAGATAGTACTACTCGTTAAGTAGCACAAAGCTCAATCACCACACCAAGT